GGGGTCCGTCGGGGTCGTTCCATTGGGATCCGTGGGGCAGCCCCCCAGCTCGGCCTGTTTACCCAGAGCACGTTGTAGCCCCAGGGCCGACGCTGCGACCCCTGTTCCCGTGGCCGGTGCCGGGGGCTCTGCCCGCGGGGGGGAGCTCGGTCCGGTGGGGCCCCGTCGGGCTGGGATGTGGATTGACCCATTGGCGCGGGACAGGGGTGCGGGGCGGTGCCCTCTGCTGGGGGGCAGCGTGGGGCACAGAAGCGGGGCTGGGCACCGGAGGCCAGTGTGGAGCTGAGCTGGCCCAGGGAGTAGGAGAGACACCTCCCCCCGCCTCCCACCCACCGGCTTCCCACGCACCAGAGTGGGGCAGAGTCACACGGCTTCCAGCGCCGCCCGGAGCCCCGAGTCCTCGCCAAAGCCCGGATGCGGTGGGGGCGAATGGACTTGGGCAGCTGGATTCGCTAGATGTGGGCTGGGAGGGGAGTGGGGTCTAGTGGTTAGAGCAGGGGGGGCTGGGAGCCAGGACTCCTGGGTTCTCTCCCTGGCTCTGGGAGGGCAGTGGGATCTAGTGGTTAGAGGGGGGCGGGCTGGGAGCCAGGACTCCTGGGTTCCATTCCCAGCTTTACCACTGACTTACACGAGGGACTCAGGCCCCTCCTTTCCCCTCTCTGTGACTCAGTTTCCCCCTCAGGAGGCAGCAGCGGCACCAACGCTGCCTCCCGGCGGGAGGTGACTCGAGGCCTGTGCCGCTCCGCCAGGCGCCAGATACCGGCCTCCCCTGCCCGCATCCCCCAGGACTCGGCACGTCCCCTCCTCCACCTCCCCCCAGTCCTCCTCTTCCCGCCACCGACCCCACCGCCCGGCTGCTCCGAAGGCCCAAACCGTTCTCCTGCCTCCCAGCCGCAAAACTGCTCCTGCCGCAGAAGCGAGAACGTTGGCACTAAACCGGAGGAAAAGCCCAGGCAGGAGCAGAGCTGCGGGAGAGGAGCAGGACCTTGGGTGAAGGGGGGGATGGGGTGGGGGCGTATTTTTGGGGTGGTGCAGGCAGGGCGGGTAGGAATCGCTCGCCCCGGGACCCATCTCCCCTGGTATCCCGGCTGCGTCCACCCAGTGCCCGGCCTGCGTGGGGGATCGAGGCGCTCGGCAGGCCAGGGGTGGGGGCTAGGATCTCGGCAGGGTTTGCAGGGGGTGTCAAGGGGCCCCTGGGAAATGTGTGTCGGCTGCCGGAGATCGGCACCGCTCCGCTGGCGGGCCCGGCTCTGCGCCGCGTCGCCCCAGCCGTGGCTCTGGCTCACGGACTTTACTACCGAGAGCAGCGTCCTTCCCCCGGGGCCTGGCAAGCGGCCGGTCTCATGTTGGCTGCGCTGGGCAAGAACGGGGGACACTGTTGCAACTCATGGTCTGATCTGCACCTGGGCCCCGGCGTCTGGACACAGCTCGGCTCGGCTCGGCCGCTTTGCCTGATTTCAGGGTCACCGCGTTTAGCTAACGGATGCCCCAGCGGCGCTTTGATTTGCCCAGACGGGGGTTCCCCGGACGACTGCGCCAAACGTCTCTTCCTCTCCTGGAGCAGCTGGACTTTGTCCAGGCCCCCGGGCTCTCGGGGAGGGGAGTGGGGTCTAGTGGTTAGTGCAGGACTCCTGGGTCCCTTGGCCAGCTCTGCGAGGCCTTCCCCTTGTGCGTCACAGGGACAACGCGCCAACCCGGGGGTCTCCTCATTCTGCGCCCCTACAGATTTATCATGTTTATCCCTTTTTCCCCCCCACCCAGGTGACCTGGGAGCCGAAGACCCCGCCGGACCCGCTGCCGGAGCAGGGATCTCCCCCGGCCTCATGGAGAACCTCCACGAACTACAGCACCCGCTGCTGGCCAAGGCCTCCGGGGGCGCCCCGGCGGGGGACACGCGGCGGGAACACCCTGGCTTCTTCGCTCGGCCCGGCTGGAGGCGCCTGCCCCCCGAGCTGCCCCAGCAGCTGCTGGACGCAGGGACCCTGCAGAGGACAGTGGAGCCGCTGGGCAGCCCCGAGCCGGCCCCCCACCCGGGCCCCACATGGAAGGCCGGGGAGCCCCCCAGCTGGAGGAAGCAGGGTTACTGCGAGACGGCGTTCGGGGAGCCGGCCGAGCGCCCCAAGAAGCTCTGCCTGGAGAAGGACATTCACACGGTCTGCTGCGAAGTGGGCGACGGGGAGCTGCTGCCTGACTTCGAGGTGAGGGGGGGCTGCGAACCCAGGCATCCGGCCGAGCCCTGCCAGCAGCTGGAGGGCACCGGCCGGGGGGGGGCTTTGGGGTTCCCCGCTCGCTCGTGACCCAGGCCCCGGGGCAGTACCAGACTTACAATGGTACGAGGGGGGCCCTGCCTGGCTCCCCGGAGCTGCGCCGCCTGGGACTGGTGCAGAAGGCAGTTGCGGGGGGACAGAGTGGGGGGCTTGGCTGGGCCCCCCCAGGCAGGTGGGTCCTGAGGGGGCCTGGGTGGGGCAGCCCCTGGCCTGGCTGATCCCACCATTGCCGAGGGGCTGGAGCGATTCCCCGCCCCGGGACCGGGGAGGGGAGGGGTGGGGCTAGTGGTTAGAGTAGGGGGGCTGGGAGCCAGGACTCCTGGGTTCTCTCCCCGGCTCTGGGAGGGGAGGGGAGGGGAGGGGGGGCTAGGTGGTTAGAGCGAGGGGGCTGGGAGCCAGGACTCCTGGGTTCTCGTCCCCGGCTCGTGGGAGGGGAGTGGGGTCTAGTGGGTTAGAGCAGGGGGGGCTGGGAGCCAGGACTCCTGGGTTCTCTCCCCGGCTCTGGGAGGGGAGTGGGGTCTAGTGGGTTAGAGCAGGGGGGGCTGGGAGCCAGGACTCCTGGGTTCTCTCCCCGGCTCTGGGAGGGGAGTGGGGGCTGGTGGGTTAGAGCAGGGGGGCTGTGAGCCAGGACTCCTGGGTTCTATCCCCGCCCTGCTCTAGGGGGGAGGGGCGCTAGTGGTTAGAGCAGGGCGGGCTGGGACCCAGGACTCCTGGGGTTAACAGTGGCCGCCGGGGTACTGCACTCCCCCCAGCCCCCTGATCTGGATTAACCCCCCCGCCCCCCCCAGAACGACTCGTCGAGCGACAGCGACAGCGACTTCGGCCTGATGCTGCCGCAGGATCACCTGGGCCTGGCCGTGTTCTCCATGCTCTGCTGCTTCTGGCCTCTGGGCATCGCCGCCTTCCACCTCTCCCAGAAGGTGAGCGGGGCAGGGCGGGGCGGGGGCAGCCCACCCAGGAGACCAATTTCCTGGGCCTCAGCCTAGCCCCCCCCCCCACCCCGCCCACTGCTGCAATCAAATCTGGACGATTTGCATACGTTATGGGAGATACTTGCATAACTTCCCCTGCCCCCCAAAAACTGGTTCAGTCCCTCAGGGGGCCCCAACCCTCCAGGGGGCCCTGTCCCAGTCCCCACTCCCAGCTGGGGGGGGCGGGGCAGGAGGGGCACTGTCTGGGGCAGAAGGTGGCATGCAGGGCCCATGGGGGGGAGAGAATCTGGCCTGGGAATGGGGGGGGGGTCTCGGGGTATCCAACTGGGCAAGGGGCAGATGTAATGCATAGGGGAGGTGGGGGGGTCCCCCATCCATGGGGGTATCTGTCAGGGGGGGTCTCGGGGTATTCAGCCAGGGGTGGGGGTATCCATGTGGGTGAGGGGGGGGATCTCAGGGGGTTCTTTCCCCCTCACTAACCTGCTCTCCCCTCCTCCCCAGACCAACAAGGCCTCGGCCAAGGGCGATTTCCCGGGGGCGCGGGCGGCCTCGCGTCGGACCTTCGCGCTGGCCGTGCTCTCCATCCTGCTCGGCATCTGCACCTACATCGGCGCCGTGGTCGCGCTCATCGCTTACCTGTCCGACAAGGGCCCCCCCTAGTGTCCCCCCGGGAATGGGGGGTGGGGGGAAGAAGGCTGCCTGGACTGGGGGCACCCCCCCCCGACAGACGGGGGCCGGCTCCTGGACACGCCTGAGCCCAGCGCTGCGGGGATGGAGGCCAGCGGAGAGATTTGGACTAGCGGCTCCCTCCCCGCCACCAGAGACATGGGCCCGGATGCCTGGGTTCACCAGGAGCAGGGTTTGGGAGCTTGATTCGTGGTGACCGACCGGACCTTCCCCCCACACACACTTTCTTCCTTCCTCCTTCATGCCCCCCCCACTGTGTCCCCATTTTGTATGTCCTCCCCTCCCCCCAGCCTTCTGCTCAGGGTCACGCTCTGCCCAAGGGGCGCGCCCCATCCAATAAAGGCCCCGTGCACTTTGCCTGCATCCGCTGGGCGGCGAGGGTTCAGCCCCACAGGGGAGGGGTTAACGCCCCAGCCGGGGGGCTGCTTCCATTGCCCCCCGCTGCCTAAAGTGCTTGGAGGCCCATAGAGAGGAAGTGGGTTCTCCTGGAGCCAAGGGGTTGGGAGCCAGGACTCCTGGGTTCAATCCCCAGCTGCGAGGGGTGGTGGTCTAGTGGGTTACAGGTGGGGGGGGCTGGGAGCCAGGACTCCTGGGTTCTATCCCTGGCTGTGGGAGGGGAGTGGGGTCTGGTGGTTAAAGCAGGGGGGGCTGGGAGCCAGGACTCCTGGGTTCTCTACCCCTAACTCCCGGTCTGACCTCAGCAAGTCCACCCCCCTCTTGGTGCCTCAGTTTCTCCCTCCGAACCGCTGACATCCTCATGGAGGAGACGATTCATCCTCAAACGAAGCAGGATGCAGCCACTTCCCACCAGCCCCCCGCGCTCTCCGCTGGGGGGGATGCGGCTGCAGCCTCTCCCCTCGGGCCCGGAGCGTCTGAGCGGCCCCGCAGCTCCAGCCCAGATGGATGGACCCTCACCAGCCCCGCTCTGGCTTTTTCAGTGAAAGCCTTAAAGGTTACCTTGATCCCCACTCAGGCGGAAAACTTCCCCGGAGCCCACGTGGCTGGCTGGGAGACAGCTAAAATCCCCCCCACCCCGGTGCTCCCCCACGCAGCTCGTCCCTCCCTGCCCGCCCCCTAGCGATTGGCTTGGGGCTGGGTCGGTTACACGGGGCTGCCCACACGGTCCAGCACCGCAGAGCGGGAGCGAACGGGGCCAGGCCCCCAGCGGCCGTGAATCAGCGTCGCTCCAGTTGGAGTCAATGGGGCCAGGCCCCCAGTGGCTGAGTCAGCAACCGAAAGCAAATTACAGCAGTCGAGCGGCTCCCGGAGCTATTCTGGGTTCACACGAGTGTCAGCAGGAGAATTTGGCCCTAAATTGGTTCAGGCTGGTGCCACCACCATGAAATCAGCTCCCCAGCCTGCCCCTCTCAGCCCAGGTTTTCTAATACCCCCCCCCAACAGGAAGCCTGGGGTTAAAAACCCACCCGCCCCTTCCCTTCCCTCTGCAACATCCCAGCTTTGGGCTAGAGGGGGTGGCCAGCCTGCAGGCCACACACGGCCCCCCCTGGTGCATTTCAGGGGGCCCGGGGCCAGGCACGGCCCCGCCTGTGCATTTCAGGGGGCCCTGGCCGCACACAGCCCCCCCGGCATATATCGGGAGGCCCTGGGCCAGGCACGGCCCCGCCTGCACATTTCGGGGGGCCAGGCACGGCTCCGCCCACGCGTTTTGGGGGGCCCTGGCTGCACACAGCCCTGCCAGCACATTTTGGGAGGCCCCTGGGCCGCCCACGTGCATTTCGGGGGGCCCTGGCCGCACACAGCCCTGCCAGCAATTTGGGAGGCCCCTGGGCCGCACAGGGCCCCACCCGTGCATTTCGGGGGGCCCTGGCCACACACGGCCCCGCCCGCGCATTTCAGGAGGCCCACGTCCTGCTTCACCAGAATCTACTAACAGCCAATTCCTTGGCGCGCTGTGGTCACGTTCACAGCAGTTTCGGTGACACGAGGGCGTAAACAGCCCAGGGTAGACAAAGCCCCCAGGTAAATACACATGAAAGCAGCAGCACTTGACCTATAAACCAATGTGCCCCACTCGAGACGGCTGCATCTCAGTGCAGGGTGAGGGATCCAGGTATGAACAGCCCCTGGGCCCCACTCCACCCCAGAGGCAGCTGCATCTAAGCATTGGGGGAGGGTGTCACGGAGTCCCCGGGCAACGCTCTGGAACTGCTCCCCACAAAGCCAGTCAGGACTTTGGGGAGCCTCCTCTCCCTCGGAGCAGACTGTCTTCAGGGCAAGAAGCTCACACGGCTTCACCTCCTGGGTCTGACCTTGGAGCATTCAGCATATGCCCCTCCGTGCGCTTCCCACAGCGAGTCCGCCCCGGCGGGGTCCTGGGGAAGCCAGAGGGTCCTGCACCCCCACTTCGCAGTCAGACGGGACTCTCAGCCAGCCAGTAAAACAGAGGTTTATTAGATGACAGGAACAGGGTCTAAAACAGAGCTTGTAGGTACAGAGAACAGGACCCCTCAGCCGGGTCCATTCTGGGGGGCAGTGAGCCAGACACCCCCATCTGCCCTCACTCCTAGTCCCCAGCCAGCTCCAAACTCAACCCCCCTCCAGCCCCTCCCCCTCTGGGTTTTGTCACCTGATCTCTTTGTTCTCCCACACCTTTAGAAATCCCCTTGCAGGGGGGAAGGCCCCTGGCCATTAGTTGCCAGGAAACAGAGTGTGGGACATAATGTGCACTGGCCCTTTGCTCTGCAACAATCTCACCCCCTAGAGACTTAAGAAATGCATAGGGGAAACTGAGGCACCCACACAGTATTAGAGGAAACATTAAGAACAGTCCCACTTCGTCAGAGAGGAAGCCCTGCCTATAGTCCCCATGCCCCACCCCAGAGGTGGCTGCATCTCAGCTCCTGGTGACAGATCCTTTAGCAAGTGGAAGAGCGTGAACATTAGCAGCGCCCCTGAAAACGGCGGGGCCATTGCGAGCCGAGAACTGCTCTGGACAGAGATGTTTTCAAAGCCAGGCAGCCGGCCCCCACCCCACCGTGGAAATTAACCGGAGTCATGCGGCTAAATCCCGGGGGCAGATTTGAAATGTCAAGGCACAGCTGGCTGGGTTGTTTCGGTGCAGAGCCCCGGGGTGGGGACCAGGCGCCCGATTGCTTTTCAGCCAGTGCTGCCGTCCGGCCAGCCCGGGCCGAGTCCTGCTGGTCCAGGCCTGGCCCACCAGTGATTTACGCCCCGCGACTCGTGGGAACGACACCCCCACCGTGGCTGGGCTGCGGGGGGCGAGCCGGGGGCTCCATTCTCAGCCCGGCGGGACAGACACTGGGGTCTAACCTGAGCCCAACACCCCCTGGTTATTAAAACACGCCGATCTCTCTACAGGGCTTGCTGGGGTTTTTCGGGGGGGAGGTTGCGGCAAGGTGTGAGCATTTAAAAAAAAAATCACATTCCCGTTCTACGCTGCCAGAGTCACGTGGCTGGCTCGGCCTCGAGGAGCGGGAGGAATGATTGTCTGCTCCAGGGCCCGAGGAATTGGGGGTACGTGTGAGAGAGCGGCAGGTCCCCCCAGGCCTGGCTCAGGCTGCAGGAGGCTGGAAAGGGGGCAGGGAGACGGGTTAGAGCAGGAGCCGAATGGAGCTCGCAGCGCCGACGGGCAAGTGAAAGATCATTTCATTAAAGCGATTAGGCTCATTAACCAAAGTGGCTGCCTGGCTGCAG